AGGAGAGTAAAGTCTGTGGGGCCAAAGTAATATTTCCTGAGAAATTGTTGTGGAAGCTTGCCACTATTGGCAAGCACCTCGTAGTGGAGGTCTACATCGGTTCTCTGTGTCACATGATAGGTTGTCTCAGTAAAGTACTCTTGCTGCCAACAAATGCACCACACCCTTCTCATTTTCCATCTTAGTCTAAAGCAATATACAGTCACTACTGGTTTAAAGGTACAACGTTGTGCTGTCTCTCTCTTATCTCCAAACATAACATTGTGTCTCTTATTTCAAACAGATGAACAAAATTTTCAAAATATCTCCCAGCTGCCCAAATAAATTCCTGACAGCATCTGACATGGCAACCAGTGGTCTCACATTGACTGGGATGGCATTTTCCGTCATATTGACTGGTCACCATGCACAAATGACAGAGAGGGCATCAAATTTGAAGTCAACACCAAGTTCATGACCTGACTGGCAAGCATATCCTGTTGGGCATGGCAGCCACACTTGCCTGCAAAGTCTCCTTTATGAAGCGCATTGAATACATAAAAATTATACTTCAGGCCTTTGGCCATTCTTGTAAGAGAATAAGAATGCATGTGCTCTATTTGAATGCTCGACTCGAAACAATATAATCACCTGAGGTGATGCACCTCTGCAAACCTCACGCTCTTTTGATTCGAAGTCTTGGCTCGAGATTATTTCATTTGAAGGTCTATAAACAGCTCCCACAGTTCAACTGTGTGTAGCTTAATTGGCCATCACGTCCACACATACCGTACCCTCATGCCCAAGGCACAGGCGGACATGTTTTCATTACGACATTGTGCACTTCTAACGAACTGCACTATACCCACAGACTTATTCCTTTCGAATCATGTCAACCATCGCTTGCACCCATGCAGCAGCATGCCGTGCAGTGTCAACATCTGGAGAGTCAGCATCAACATTTGACACTGAGCAACAGTTGCTCACTGCCATGGGTATGCAGTGCCTCTTTTTTCGGCTGTGAAAATGCCAATAGGATGTATGGAGATCCATCACATGGCCGGCAAAGCCATTGTAGGATTGTTTCCAAACAACGTCTCCTAAAATTAGCTCACAATGTGCATCCACACCAGATCCACGATTGCTGGGCGTGGCCACGATTGGCAAGATGCTGTTGGGCCAGGAGGATGAGGGTGCTACTTGCAGCCATGCCAGCAAGAGTAGTGAGGAGGACAATGACCACCATGAGGACAGCAGCAAACCGGACTTGGACGACGACCTCCCAGACGACGACCTCTCACAGGAGGACAGGTCTGAGGATGATGACACGATCGCATCCAACAGCTGACACTGGTTCGGCAATGGCAGTGCCCTCCTGCTGGCCACAACCTGGCAGCTCAATGCTCTTGACGATCAGCTGACCCAAGGCAGCGACCTGAGTGCAGCCCTTGGGGGTATGGAGGAGCAGCTTGAGCTCCTCCACCCAGGATTGGCCAAGCTGGTGCCAATCATCCAGGCTCTTGTCAGTGCTGAACTCACCAAGTTCGCCTGGACCCTGCCTGTGGCGATCAGCAAGGACACTCGTGCAGACCTGTATGACTCAAAGGATCGGTCCACTGGTGCACACTGCGCGCTGGTAGAGGAGTACACAGCCGAAGTCCCAGAGGTGACCAAGAGGCTCTGGGGGGGCACCCATCCCTTCCTTGCCATGCCATCAGACAAGCGCCATGCAGTGGTGGCCTCGGCGCACAAGTACCAGGGCACGTCCATCCCGGAGCTGCTGCAAGAACTTTCTGTTCTTGTGACAATCATGGCGTCACATGTGGTGGAACTTGGCGGAACGTTGGCCATGGTCACCTGACCATTGAAGGCGATGGAAGAGGGGGATCATGGCGGGTATAAAAGGGACACTCGTGACCAGTGCCGCGTCCTGGGCTCTGTGTCGCGAGTCATTTATATTGACCAAAATACAAGTTGTATTAAACCAGAAATCTCCTAGTCTTTCCCACCAACCCAGATCGCAGTGCCTCTCTGAACAGTGAACGTCACAGTTACCAGTGCCACATGTTTGGCCACACTGCAGCCAACTGCAAGTCTCCCACCCATCCCAACTGTCACCATCCAGCCACTGCCATCACCAATGCCAAGCCCGTGGGTGTATACACACTGAGTGCCATGCACTCACTGAGCCCCAGATGCGCTGGCACCTTGCATGCATCAGTTGCTGCCCTGTCACACCAATGCATGCCCACTTCTCTGCCTGCTGCCATGTCACTGCCAAGCTGTGCTTGCAGATGTTGCCTCACCCATGCTGAGGCCCTTAGCAGTGTGGTGCAGCAGCTGTCAGATGGGATGGTCACCATTATTGATGCCAATGATCATGCTGGGGCCAAGCAATTTCTTGTGATGCTGTGCACCATTCTCAGAGGTGCTGAGATGGACCAGCTGGCAGTGTCGAGCTTCATTGTTGAGCAACAGGGCCATGACTACCCCCACACCTGAGCCAATCACTACCATGATGACCACCACTGAGCAGCAGCAACCAGCACCATGGTCAGTGCCACTGAAGCACACAGTCACCACCCTGAGCAACAACAAGGAGGACAGCTTGGTGCGGCTGCCTGCCAAGGAGCATTGTGTCAACAGTACCACCACCACCATTACCACTGCCAGTGGCAGTGGTAATGGTGGAGGCATGGATGGAGGCAGCACCACTAGCAGCAGCAGCAGTCCTGGCCAGCAGATGGTGGGTTTTCAGTGAGCACTGGCCAGGAGTTCCCAGGTGGTAGCAGTGATCAGGGCAGCAGCATTGCCCTTGTTGGCAATGCTGGAACCGTTGGCAACCAGCAGCAGTGCCATTGGCTGGATGGAAGTGGATCTGTCCCTGATGCAAACAATGCCAGCAGTGGAATGAGTAGCATGCCCACATCTGCTGCTATCACCAAAACCGCCACTACTGATGCTGCTGCTGCAGAGAACGTGGAAGAGGAGCCAGAACTTGCTGATGCCATGGAGGTCAATGACATTGATGGCTTTTGCAATGATGACCTTGAGGCAGTTTATGGAATACCAGACACCTGCCAGTGGACCACTGAGGACTTGGTGCAGTTGGTGTCCATGTATGGGCATGCCATGTTGGTTGAGGACACTGATGGTTGCAGCAGTGATGACAGCAGCAACTACAACTGTGGCTGGTGCAATCAAGTCAGGACATGCATGCCATTCAACTGCAGTATCTACTTGGCCAGGAAGATCAAAGTGGCAGCAGCAGCAGCAAGGGGGCAGGACTGCAGCTCTGGTGCAAATTGTACTGCAGGCAGGCCCATGGCAGTGATCCACCATGGGCACAAGAAAGGATGATTTTGGCAAGCTTCAGCTGTGTGGGCATCCATCTGGGGCCACCAGCCTCAGTGGGATAACCATGCTCCCTGGTGCAGGGCAGCATGGTAGGGATGGAGCAAGGAGGGACCAATGCTCACTGATGCCAATTCAAATGGGCTGGTGGTGTGGTTAAGGGATGGGCTTGGGTGTGGGTGTGGTTGTCGTTTTTCCCTTTCCTTTTCTCCTGATTGTTGTCCTTGCAGGAGCTTGGAATAAATTATCTCTATTGCCATCACACACCAACAAACATGCAGAAAAAAATGACAGCAGTGAAACGATACTTTTTCAGGTGGTAAGAGCTTGGATTGTTGGCACAAATAAGCCATGAGGTGGCACCCAGGTCAACCCATAATTTTATATTGTTGGTTATGTGAATTGGGACATTTCGAATCAACTCTTGACCACTGGTGCATTGTTAAAATTGCATTACAGCTGTAACGACACGTGTGGGGGGCTTGGCAGATGGAGGACAGGCAGGAGGGGATGGTGGTTGAGACTGTATTTAAACATAATAGAATGACACGTGACACTGTTCTAAAGAGAAATAGTTCGCATGTATAATACATTACAATATACACTACTGTGTAATGGCCAAAGTCCATTCAGCCAATCTTCACAACAGCCACAGGATCAATAACAAAACGACCCACAACCCCAAGCTCACAATCCTTAAATCCAGGGACAGCTGTATATAATGTCACCATCCTCTGCACACAAAAAAAAAAGAGTTCAGGATAAAGCCAGGAGACAGCCTTTACACCCTCATTGCTGTCAACCTCCTTGCTGGCTGCTGGCAATGTAAAATCATGCTGTCCATAAGCTGGCCATTGCATCCAACACTACTTGGTAATGTCAAATTTCATTAGTGACACCCAATCCGCCCTCATATTGACCCTTCAACCCCAAAACAGTGACTTATAATGGTATGTGGCTGTAAATGTGAGCTTTGAGGTGTTCATAGAATAAGGCTCTCGATCCTGTGGTTTGCATCTAGCCAAGCTCAGCGCGGAGGAGTACACACGCCCAGGGACTGCGATCATGATGGCAACACATGTGTTGGTTGCTTGAAAGCGTACATGCTATGATCACATACATGGCGGTTTACATTGCGCAGGCCGCCTTAGCTCAGTGGTAGAGCGTCGCTCTCGTAAAGCGAAGGTCGGGTGTTCGATCCCCCCAGGCGGCATTTTCTCGGCGGTTTATAAAATTTAGAGTTTCTGTTGGCTGTCAACTCCTCCATTCCTCAGTGGCATCTGTAGGCACTTGCCATGTTTCAGGTTTTTTTTCTTTTTTTTTTTCCACGGTCAAATCACAACATGCAAGCAAAAGCACCAATTTCTATCCATTTTACACGATGTTCTTTTTTCACTATTTGCAAGCAGATGCAGTGGAGATTTTCGTTATTTGTTGGCATCCTCCTTCAGAAGGGTCACCATAGAGGGCCTTGCTTGCCCTTAGCAATTTATGATCTTTTTTCTTGAGCTCAAATACAAATACAACTGTTAAATTCATTGTTGATCAATTTTTTTTAAATTTAAATGAGACAGATCAAATAATGGTGATAAGACAGTGCCTTGAGAGTCGATACCTGGTGTCAGCAAGTTTCAAGGTAAAGTGTGTTGTGGCACTAGTAGTATAAGTCAGGGATGGGGAGGACAAGACAAGTGTTGTACTGGGAGAATGATCTCCTGGGCCTGACCTCTCTTTCCTCCAAGCAAGCAGGTTTTAATCCTTTGAATATAACTAAGGCCTGGCCAATTCCCACTACCACACTTCTTATAAACCACAACAAAGTGCAAGAATTGAAAGGTTTCAATCAGCTGGAGGACACTTCTGACTGCACTTCAATCATCAAATTAAGAATCAAAATACTGAAGCAATGTGCATGGGTTGTCAAACGCAGACCAGAGGTGATTGGATCAGTGTGGTAAGGGCCAGCCAGTACTCTCTGATTGCCTTCCTGTGCATTGGTTTTTTATCTTTGGGCTTTTGCACTTCATTGTACCTGATCAGCAGCATTTTCATGCATGTCAAGTCCACAGCATGTATGTAATGGATCAGCAGTTGCTGGGCATTGGAGAATGTGTTGAGAGTCATTGTTGGCTTGTCTTTGCAAGTCAAAGTAAATACATTGCTGTTCTTCATAATAGTACCTCTACTTGTCCACTGATCCCCTGCCTACTGGGCTGTACTATGATCCTTCTCAGCTCATGGGTTGAATTGTGGCTCTCAGTCACAAAATAATGCCAAGAGCATTGCCCCCAAGACAAAGATCCTTACATGCTCAAGGTAGTGGAGCCCCAGATGGTGCTATAGGCTGTTTTGGTTGATCCTGACAGCTTGTCAATGAAATATATGTATTTTTACCATTGACTTGTACATGGTTTCACTTTGCTATCAACTAAGGTGTGATATTGTCGTTTTTGCCCCAAACTGAACACCTGAAGTTCCAAGTTCCAGGAAAAGCTCCAGCCAGGACAATTCCAGAAAAGCTCCACAACTGTTTTTTAACACTACAAACTCACCCCCACCTCGTTTTTTTTTTTGCCTTCACCACATAAATTCACATGGCCTGTGCTTCTACAAGTCCTGCCCACAGTGCTACCTGCACTCCCTGCTGTCCTTGCTGTCCCTGCTGTCCCTTGCCAAGGTGGCCAGGCTCAGCAGCCTGCATGATTGTGACTGCCCCCACCAGGTACAATATTTGACCAGGACACTTGGAAAACCACAAATACACCCAGGCCTTGTGGTGCCCATGCCCAATCAGTGTCTGGCTCTCCAGCTTCTTTGAGGTGCAAAAACTGCACAGCAAGTCGATTTCCAAAGTAATGAAATGACTCAGAGGGTGTGGATATAATCGTGTGGCTGAAAATACTGCCCTCAATGAGTTTGGCAGCATTGGCAAGAGTGGGAATGCTGCTTGTGGGGCCTTTTGGAATAAATTTTGGAGTTTTGTTCCAACTCTCCTGGTGTTCAGTTTTGCTCAAAAATGACAATATGGTGGATGAAATTCAAGAGTTCAAAACGTTGAAGCCATTCCCAGTTTTCTGAACCCTACTACCACCCACAAAAACAACCAGGACCAAAATTTTAACTAACCATGAGAACAGTGCCAAAACTGTCAGAAAGTATTTAAATTGGTCAATAGAATCATATCCCTGCTGTATTTTTTGTTTTGTCTGGTTCATTTGTGGAGGCCAGTTTTTACATTAAAGTCCATCCTCTTTAACAACTCAGCATCTGATAATCCCACAACCAAAAGTCACCAAAGAGGTGCCATTGACCCATGTCTGTCTTTCAGAGCACCTGAGACCCCCTTTTGCCAGCAGAAAAGGCAGTTGGTGGCTGGGAGGGTACATTTATACAACAATTGGCTCAACTAGCTCAGCTGTGTCAATGTGGCTGTCCTTGCCCATGCCCCAGGCTGAATGGCCTGTTCTTGCTGTCACTCCTCTTAACTGCACTTGGGAGCTTTATTTTGGCATGTCATGGCCCACAATGGCTCACAAACTTGCTGCCAACTGAATGCAAATATGATGGTACTACTCCATTCTCACACTTGAATTTGATGCCACAGGACAGCAAAGTGCGATTTCGAGCACCTTCCTTCCAAGTTGAAGTCTTCAGCATCCCTGTGTGTGAGTGAGATGCTGCTGCTGGTAGCATTGGCACAGCACATGGTCTTGTTGTGAGAGATAGATGAACTCATCCAGCCATAATATTATTTACCCTGTTTTACACCAGATCTGCTCAAAAAAATAAGGGGGTTGCATACGAATATTCCTGCAGGCACAATACATTATGAGAGGTGGAGAGAGGGTCTGGTCATAAGTTTGTGGCTGGTGCATTTCATCTAAACCTGAAGTCAGCTTTAACACTATGGGTTTGAACTCTTGAATTTCATCCGCAATACATTCACGACTGTCAGGAGCAAGCAAGGCAAACGAAAAGATGTCGAAGCATTAAAAGATGGAGATTGAGGGAATCGAACCCCCGGCCTCACGCATGCGAAGCGCGCGCTCTACCCCTGAGCTAAATCCCCTGGGCTAAACTTCCTGGAAAAACTCACTGATATCAATGTACAACACTGATGACAAAAATATGCTCACCAACGCGCCCACCCCTGGTGGCTCCGCCTCTGGCCTCACCGGCTCGGCACTCACTGCGCCAAAGAAAGCCATGGTCAATGGGTTCCTGGACATGGTGGCCCTTGGCCCAAAAAATACCACTGTGGATAAAAAGATGCTGATGCACAACCTGACCATCAACATTGAGGGCAGTGTTTAGCATTGGTCCCATGCTCCCACAGGATGTGATGCCAATCTACCTGCTGCAGAGTGCTTGGCATGGCATGGCCACCAGCCCTGAGCAGGCATCTGACATGATCACCACAATGTGAATTCATAAGGGGAAGGTAGAGTTGTGGGAATGGGCCAGGCCTTGGTTATATTCAAGATTCATGAAACCTACTTGCTTGGAGGAAAGAGAGGTGAGGTACAGGAGACATTACTCACATGACCTCACCTTCTCAGACCCCATTTATGTGTGACGTCCGCGCTCGGGAAGGTAGTGCAATCTGCAACGGGTTGTTCGAATATATGCTTATCAATACAATTGACTCGCGACAGTGAACCAAAGACAAGTTCCTGT